ATGATCTTGTCTAAAGCCTGTAGCTTCTGTTTTCGACGAGAGAAAGATCAGATCTTATATAGTTACTTATCTTGTCATCTATTACAAAATAGGAAGGAGACATGCAAACACACACATAGAAACACCTTATCTATGTGTTGATCAGATATACTCAGTTCCCACCATGAACAAACACTATTATGATCAGTTAATGTGTGTAATGTGTAATTCAATTTGATTTAATGTATACAGCATTACTATGTTCTTGGCACATAACATAGACATAATGGTTTACCCGATTTAGCGAAGTTTAAAATATGTGTCCAAATACACAACATGTCTTGACCAATACATATGACGGTGCATGTTAACTGACAACGGACAAAACTACAGCACTAAATCGGCAAAACAGTCCTTAAAATATTAAAATAATTCCACGTACAAAAATGACATCAACATATTAAAACAATCTGTGAAATTAATGATAAGGAGAGACTACACTACTGTTAGTGAACTGTAGCTGCCGAGCCTACAACTACCACTGGTAACAAGCTCCCTGGCAGCTTTTTTGAACTGTCTCAATGGATAGACTAAATTAAAAAAATACAACAGAAATTGTATTGTATTGATTTAGATTGATATACCTTTTAAAATCCTTTAAAAAAGCAATAAAATTAAAACTATTAAGTTATTAAGTGTTTTTTATTCTATTACTATTTGCACAAATTTCCCTGTTTTCTAAAAACCTAAATTCATTTTGTTTAGCTGTTACAGGAGATATCTGTCATGTTTCTAAATGACTGTAACATTAATACATGCATCTATGCTGGAGTACTGTCAAATAAAAAACTGGTTGTTTCTCTGCTGCTGTTGTTGCAAAGAAAGCCTTTAAGGATGATTTAGCATTTAGTGAACTTCCAAATCACACTTGGTGAGACTATGATAATTAATGCTGCACTGATAGAACGATAACTCTGATGAAATAATTTCTCAACCTTTCGTTTGAATTCATACTCGTGGGAAATGTACTGTAGCAATGACATATCAGAATAGTTGGTGTTACATACACCAATCAGCCATAACATTATGACCAACTGGGCACCCTGGTGGTCATAATGTTCTTGTTATAATGGCCCGTGTTGGATTGGACCACATGGGCCAACCTTCGTTGCTTTGTACCTATCAAAAGTGGTCCAAGGAAGGAAAAGTGGTGAAGCGGAGACAGGGTCTTGAGGGGCCAAGTCTCATTGATGCACGTGGGGAGCGAAGGCAGGCCTGTGTGGTCCAATCCAACAGCTGAGCTACTGTAGCTCAAACTGCTGAAAAAGTTCATGCTGGTTCTGATAGAAAGGTGTCAGAACACACATTGCATCGCTGTTTGTTGGTCTGGGGCTGCATAGTCCCTGCTGACCCCTGTCCACTGCTGAACGCCCCTACAATGGGCATATGACCATCAGAACTGGACCAAGGAGCAATGGAAGAAGTTGGCCTGGTCTGATGAATCATGTTTTCTTTTACATCTTGTGGATGGCTGGGTGCGTGTGTTTCGCTTACCTGGGGAACACATGGCACCAGTAGGCATAATGGGAAGAAGGCAAGCCGGTGGAGGCAGTGTGATGCTTTGGGTGATGTTTGGCTGGGTCCTGCCATCCATTTGGATGTTAATTTTCCACTTACCACTTACCTGAGCATTGTTGCAGAGGATGCACATTCTTTCATGGAAAAGTTATTTCCTGATGACAGTGGCCTCTTTCAGCGAAATAATGCTCCGTGCCACAAATCAGAAATGGTTCAGGAATGGTTTGAGGAACACAACAACAAGTTTGAGGTGCTGACTTGGCATCCAAATTTCCCAGATCTCAATCCAATCGAGAATCTGTGGGATGTGCTGGATAAACAAGTTCGATCCATGGATGCCCCACCTCACAGACACAGACACTTGATCTAAAAACTGGTCCTGGTGGTCCTCTCTTAGTGGAGAGCTTGTCCAACTGCACCAAGAACTTTGTATTCCAGGGGGCTGTTGGAATTCACATGAACTCAGCACTGATCTAGAACATTGGACTAACTTTAACGCTACAGGTATGCAAAGTTTTTTCCTTACCTATATGAACTTTGCTTGGTCTTCTAAGTGACGTTTTCAAAAAAATGGAATCTAACAAAAATGCCTTGATCGAATGAGTAATTGCAGTTTGATGTCCACTGCCATTTTCCAAAGAGAAGAAAGTAGGTTCAACGAGAATAATTTAGAAAGTTTAGTTTTAATGAAGAAAATAATCATCGTTACAATGATACAAAAACACATTAAACTAACAACAGCCTTGTTTTACTCTTTTTAGTGTACAGGAATTCAGGAGGCAGCTTCTAGTGTTTTGATTAGATTTTTGGTGGCTGTTTAATATATGAACCTACATGCTGGAGTATTATAAAAAACACAAAAAGGTAGACCAAGTGTTTGGATAAGGCATCTGGCCTTCAAGGTGTTTTTTAGATCTTGGTCCTCACAGCAAAGATGACACTATGAAAATTATGCGGCAGACTTAGGATAAACCATCTTCAACTTCCTCTCTCTTCAGTCTGCCAATGATAAGAAATATACTGTAACAATGACACATCAGAATTAATATTCAGTTTCATATGATTTTATCTACATGTCAGTTTGGAAATCCAAAACACTGTCTCCTACATGGAAGAACTTTTTAAAAAAAAAAACAATTGTGTATAATCACACAGATAATCAAATAAAATAAAAAATCTCAAAATGAACCATAGATGTTCACAAATGTAATATTTCATCCATTTGTGATTCTAGTTAACAATTTATTCATGAAGGTGCACGGCTTTGATACATATAAGGCCTATAAATTTGATGTTTGACATAAATAATTGAATTAAAGAGGTTGAGTAATTGATAGAAGATTTGTACAATGTTAATAAATATTAGTGGCATTCACCTGAAAGTATGTATTAATAGTGTTGTTAAAGGACCAGTGTGTAGGATTTAGTGGCATCTAGCGGTGAAGTTGCAGATTGCAACTAATAACTAACTATTAATCTACATGCAGTGTGTGGTTTGTCTGTTCTGGGCTACTATAGAAACAATAATTCATACATTCAGTTGATTATACACTAATTAAAATATACCTATGAATATTATATTCCATTTCTGCCAATAGATTCTCCTAAATTGGTCATTATCCTTAAAAAGTGCCTTTTAGACTTTTAACAAATCGTCATAATAAAATGTACATCTTCAGAAAGAAATTTTCTCAACAATATATTTTAGTTAATAGGAAATGTATTTTTATAATAATGAAATTATTATGCACTTTCTTTTCTAAATAAAATCTAACAACAAAGATATCTGGTCAAACTTTCAAACACAGCTATTTGGCCCTTGTTTGTCATTACTGTTTCATGTCATGCTGTGAAACAACACCAATTTGAGCATTTTTTGGGTCAATATGTGCTCCCTAACTTTGTCAACCTCAGATTAACTGTTTACAAAATGACTGGAATTCAAACACAACTGGTTCTAGCAGTTGGTTTGAGTGCCTGAACATAGAAGGAGGGGAACAACACACATGTATCACAAATAACACAAAATATTGTATTACATGTTTGAGAGCAACACTATGTAGAAGTGCCAATATCTCACATTAGATTGCAGCAACAGAAAGCACTGATTTCTGATTGGCCAGCAGGTGTTAAAATCAGTTTCAGCCACTGCAGGTGTATGTGTGTTAATTATTTCACAGCCAAACTGCATTTTGTAGTAACGCACAAGTGTCACAAGGTGGCAGCAGCTAAATGTGAAGACAGTATATGGGAACGGTGTATATCAATGAATTGAATGAAACAACTGTAAATTCTTCACAATAAAAGCCTTTTTTGGACATGAAGGGAGTCTTTCCACTGAAGTGCTACAGGGTTTTTAATTTGAAACAGAAACAGGAAGTGTTGAGTTTGTATGAACAGCATAATGCAGTAGCAAAGAGTTAACAGGGCAAACTGGAGCAGATCAGAAACAAGGAGGCTTTATACTAAAATATGACCGAACGATAAACCCCTGACAGACAATCTATTGATCAATGTTTCTTTTCATTGGTATTGGTTCTAGGTATTGGTTCTAACTATTCCACACATACAATAATTGCATGCAAACTCTCTCTTTTTAGTCTCTTTCAAACACTCAAAAGTAACAGAAAGATTGGTTACATTGTCAATAAAGGTTGGGGCAGCAGTAGCTCAGTATGTAGGGACTTGGCTTGGGAACCTTTAGGTTGCAGGTTCAAATCCCACAGACCACAATATGGAGTGTGGACTGGTAGCTGGAGAGATGCCAGTTTTACCTCCTGTGCACTGCAGAGGTGCCCTTGAGCAAGGCAACCTAACCCCAAGAAACTGCTCATGGGTGCCGCTAATGTGGCGAGCCCATCACTCCACCATGTCTCTCCCTGTTGCATGTCCACGAGTGCATGAAGTGTGTATTTCAGTCTGTATATATATATATATATATATATATATATATATATACACATATATATGAATACAAAAGAGTGAAAAGAAGAATTTCCCCAATAGGGGATTAATAAAGTATATATCTTCTTCTTCTAAAAAAGGCTCTAAAAATTGGGCTGCATGTTACTATACGAATAATGTTGAGCTGAGTTGAGTTAAACAAAATGGTGTCTATGTGATGTTTGATGCAACATTGATGGCATATTTTGAGATAGAATTTCAACTAATTACTCAAAAAAGTACATGTGTAGAATATTATTTAATGATGTTAGAGGGTTCTTTGATACCTGTTGATTTAACACAGACTCAGGGTGTAGCTCACTTGGTAGAGCACGTGCCCCATGTACTAAGGCTGAGTCTTTGCTGCAGCAGCCTTTGTTTGATTAACCTTAGCCACATGTCATCCCCACTCTGTCTCTCCACTTTCCTGTCGTTCTTCACCAACCAAATAGACACAAAAATCCCCCAAATTATCTTTAAACACAGACTCATAGACCAGCTTGTTTGATGCTTTTAATTTTGCAAAAGACAGGAAATACAGTTGCTAAAGCGTACTTTCCATAACACAATCTGCTGTCTGATCTTCTTAAAAACCCAAGGCCTAAGAGACAATCCAGCTCCTCCTTTCTCACTTGTCATTTTAAACGGCAATAGAAAAAGAAATTGTAACGGCAATAGAAAAAAAAATTGAGATATGCAAAGAAATATAGAGCCTTCAAGTTATGAAACTGATGACACAAAAAACAGTGTGTTTGTTGTGCTTGACAGGTACTTGATACCTCTCTGGCAGCCCAGGAATCATCAGACTTTCTTGGCGCAGACAGATGGGCGAGTAGTACCACAGTTGATATCATCCCAGCACTTTTCCCCTGTAAATACAAACAATCTCTGAAAGTGCTGTCTGCTAAAACATCTTTGTGGTTCCTGTTTTAAACATTTAGAGGAGACAGATTGAGACAAAATCAAGAAACAGTTTTGTCTCGAACTGTAGTAGCTGTAAAATGTCTCCAGGATTCAGGAACCTGTAGTATTAAGGTAGTGTTTGCTGTTACCATGATAACCACAGGTGTTGCCAAATCAATCAGGCATGAAACTTTAAGTATTACAAGTTTAAACTCTATATACTCTAGTACAAATAAGTTAAGTTGATTTACCTCCATAGTTCATTTGCAAACAGTGCTGCTGGCTGCGGCCGTTGTCAGGCTGTCCGTTACACCAGTTCAGATACTGGAAACGAGAACCATCACTCCACAGCCAAAGACGCTCCTAGACAAGAAAACAGAATATTACACAAATTAAACCGGTTTAATCAAATGACATGTTGGGTTTTGTGTAGTAATGATTAAAAATACCTCTTGTGCATCAGAGCCTCCGAGCCATGCCTCCTTAGACTGATAACTTGCGGCCCTAATCAGCCTCTGAATCTCTTGGTACTCCTGTATGTTCTGTACTGATGCAAGGTTTGCACCCATGGACTGGCAGTTTTTCTACAGTGGAGATTAACAGACAGAGAGCAGAGTTGAAACAAATAAAAACATCAAGTCAGAAGAAGAAACCAAGAGTGCAAGTCAAGACAAACAAATAAACTCTTTCTAGAAGCAGTAATTTGAAATCATCCTGATTACCTCAGCTTGAGCCCAAGTCATGGGTCTTGGAATGTAGTGGAAACAGCGATTGTTGAACAGAGACCACCTATTGGGACAATCTGTTGACCTCTTGACCAGACGACTCTTTACTGAGAACACGTAATAGAAAAACAGATAAGTCTTCGGTTAAAGTCTTTACCTGATCGACAAGTTTAGATAATTGCCCAAAAGATAATAAACCGCAATTCAAAAAGACAGGATCCCATCACCCCCATTCTTAACCTCTCTACACTGGTTAACCGACAGTTCTAGAGTTGATTTTAAAGGAATAGTTTGACATTTTAATTTGCTTTCTTGCCAAGGTAGTAAGCAGTGCTGTAGTCAAGACCGACTTTGTCAAGTCCAAGACCATGACAAGCCAAGATCTAGTCAAGACCAAGTTCAAAGAGGTTTGAGTTCAAGTCAAGACCGAGTCCACATGAGAGAGACAGAGTCAAGACCGAGACAGAAATAAAAGAATGCTTTTGGCATTGCCGACGAGATGAGTTTTGGTAGCCAGCACACGATTGCAGGTGATTATCTCTTCCAAATCCTAACAAAATGGATTTTGAACCCTAAACCAATACCCATTTTCTGAACAAAAGCACTTCAATCAATGGTGTTGTTTTGAAGGAGGAAATAAAAAAATAAAAAACATATTACTGGACTAGGTCGTCCAAATGCTATGATATTTTAATGTCTATCATAATGGTGATACTTGGAGAGTATTCCTGAGCACACAGAATCTTGGACGAAGTGTAAGGCATTTCAATGAAAATCGAATAAAAGAAGACCCACTGACCTGTTTGATCATCCTTGGCCTTGGCTTCTGGAAGAGCTGGACAGTTTGACATAGCAGTTATTGACTTGGGTCATCTCCAGACATGTAAATGTAATACCTCTCAGTTCATTATACACAATACCATCTCTATATCACTTACCAACAGCTCTGGTCAGAGCCATCATGGCACAAAGAACTGCAAACGCAGTCAGTATCTTCATGTTGGGAATGATGATGATAACCTTCAATAAACAGACAGAAACATGTGAGTAATATCAAGTAGGTAGCAGGCGACTGTCAATGCATTAAAGGAAGTAAGATAAAAGAGTTTGTAGAAAACCTGCTGCAGAATGATCTTGTCTAAAGCCTGTAGCTTCTGTTTTCGACGAGAGAAAGATCAGATCTTATATAGTTACTTATCTTGTCATCTATTACAAAATAGGAAGGAGACATGCAAACACACACATAGAAACACCTTATCTATGTGTTGATCAGATATACTCAGTTCCCACCATGAACAAACACTATTATGATCAGTTAATGTGTGTAATGTGTAATTCAATTTGATTTAATGTATACAGCATTACTATGTTCTTGGCACATAACATAGACATAATGGTTTACCCGATTTAGCGAAGTTTAAAATATGTGTCCAAATACACAACATGTCTTGACCAATACATATGACGGTGCATGTTAACTGACAACGGACAAAACTACAGCACTAAATCGGCAAAACAGTCCTTAAAATATTAAAATAATTCCACGTACAAAAATGACATCAACATATTAAAACAATCTGTGAAATTAATGATAAGGAGAGACTACACTACTGTTAGTGAACTGTAGCTGCCGAGCCTACAACTACCACTGGTAACAAGCTCCCTGGCAGCTTTTTTGAACTGTCTCAATGGATAGACTAAATTAAAAAAAATACAACAGAAATTGTATTGTATTGATTTAGATTGATATACCTTTTAAAATCCTTTAAAAAAGCAATAAAATTAAAACTATTAAGTTATTAAGTGTTTTTTATTCTATTACTATTTGCACAAATTTCCCTGTTTTCTAAAAACCTAAATTCATTTTGTTTAGCTGTTACAGGAGATATCTGTCATGTTTCTAAATGACTGTAACATTAATACATGCATCTATGCTGGAGTACTGTCAAATAAAAAACTGGTTGTTTCTCTGCTGCTGTTGTTGCAAAGAAAGTCTTTAAGGATGATTTAGCATTTAGTGAACTTCCAAATCACACTTGGTGAGACTATGATAATTAATGCTGCACTGATAGAACGATAACTCTGATGAAGAATTTCTTAACCTTTCCTTTGAATTCATACTTGTGGGAAATGTACTGTAGCAATGACATCAGAATAGTTGGTGTTACATACACCAATCAGCCATAACATTATGACCAACTGGGCACCCTGGTGGTCATAATGTTCTTGTTATAATGGCCCGTGTTGGATTGGACCACATGGGCCAACCTTCGTTGCTTTGTACCTATCAAAAGTGGTCCAAGGAAGGAAAAGTGGTGAAGCTGAGACAGGGTCTTGAGGGGCCAAGTCTCATTGATGCACGTGGGGAGCGAAGGCAGGCCTGTGTGGTCCAATCCAACAGCTGAGCTACTGTAGCTCAAACTGCTGAAAAAGTTCATGCTGGTTCTGATAGAAAGGTGTCAGAACACACATTGCATCGCTGTTTGTTGGTCTGGGGCTGCATAGTCCCTGCTGACCCCTGTCCACTGCTGAACGCCCCTACAATGGGCATATGACCATCAGAACTGGACCAAGGAGCAATGGAAGAAGTTGGCCTGGTCTGATGAATCATGTTTTCTTTTACATCTTGTGGATGGCTGGGTGCGTGTGTTTCGCTGACCTGGGGAACACATGGCACCAGTAGGCATAATGGGAAGAAGGCAAGCCGGTGGAGGCAGTGTGATGCTTTGGGTGATGTTTGGCTGGGTCCTGCCATCCATTTGAATGTTAATTTTCCACTTACCACTTACCTGAGCATTGTTGCAGAGGATGCACATTCTTTCATGGAAAAGTTATTTCCTGATGACAGTGGCCTCTTTCAGCGAAATAATGCTCCGTGCCACAAATCAGAAATGGTTCAGGAATGGTTTGAGGAACACAACAACAAGTTTGAGGTGCTGACTTGGCATCCAAATTTCCCAGATCTCAATCCAATCGAGAATCTGTGGGATGTGCTGGATAAACAAGTTCGATCCATGGATGCCCCACCTCACAGACACAGACACTTGATCTAAAAACTGGTCCTGGTGGTCCTCTCTTAGTGGAGAGCTTGTCCAACTGCACCAAGAACTTTGTATTCAAGGGGGCTGTTGGAATTCACATGAACTCAGCACTGATCTAGAAAATTGGACTAACTCTAAAGCTACAGGTATGCAAAGTTTTTTCCTTACCTATATGAACTTTGCTTGGTCTTCTAAGTGACGTTTTCAAAAAAATGGAATCTAACAAAAATGCCTTGATCGAATGAGTAATTGCAGTTTGATGTCCACTGCCATTTTCCAAAGAGAAGAAAGTAGGTTCAACGAGAATAATTTAGAAAGTTTAGTTTTAATGAAGAAAATAATCATCGTTACAATGATACAAAAACACATTAAACTAACAGCAGCCTTGTTTTACTCTTTTTAGTGTACAGGAATTCAGGAGGCAGCTTCTAGTGTTTTGATTAGATTTTTGGTGGCTGTTTAATATATGAACCTACATGCTGGAGTATTATAAAAAACACAAAAAGGTAGACCAAGTGTTTGGATAAGGCATCTGGCCTTCAAGGTGTTTTTTAGATCTTGAGCCTCACAGCAAAGATGACACTATGAAAATTATGCGGCAGACTTAGGATAAACCATCTTCAACTTCCTCTCTCTTCAGTCTGCCAATGATAAGAAATATACTGTAACAATGACACATCAGAATTAATATTCAGTTTCATATGATTGTATCTACATGTCAGTTTGGAAACCCAAAACACTGTCTCCTACATGGAAGGACTTTTTTTTAAAAACAATTGTGTATAATCACACAGATAATCAAATAAAATAAAAAATCTCAAAATGAACCATAGATGTTCACAAATGTAATATTTCATCCATTTGTGATTCTAGTTAACAATTTATTCATGAAGGTGCACAGCTTTGATACATATAAGGCCTATACATTTGATGTTTGACATAAATAATTGAATTAAAGAGGTTGAGTAATTGATAGAAGATTTGTACAATGTTAATAAATATTAGTGGCATTCACCTGAAAGTATGTATTAATAGTGTTGTTAAAGGACCAGTGTGTAGGATTTAGTGGCATCTAGCGGTAAAGTTGCAGATTGCAACTAATAACTAACTATTAATCTACATGCAGTGTGTGGTTTGTCTGTTCTGGGCTACTATAGAAACAATAATTCATACATTCAGTTGATTATACACTAATTAAAATATACCTATGAATTTTATATTCCATTTCTGCCAATAGATTCTCCTAAATTGGTCATTATCCTTAAAAAGTGCCTTTTAGACTTTTAACAAATCGTCATAATAAAATGTACATCTTCAGAAAGAAATGTTCTCAACAATATATTTTAGTTAATAGGAAATGTATTTTTATAATAATGAAATTATTATGCACTTTCTTTTCTAAATAAAATCTAACAACAAAGATATCTGGTCAAACTTTCAAACACAGCTATTTGGCCCTTGTTTGTCATTACTGTTTCATGTCATGCTGTGAAACAACACCAATTTGAGCATTTTTTGGGTCAATATGTGCTCCCTAACTTTGTCAACCTCAGATTAACTGTTTACAAAATGACTGGAATTCAAACACAACTTGTTCTAGCGGTTGGTTTGAGTGCCTGAACATAGAAGGAGGGGAACAACACACATGTATCACAAATAACACAAAATATTGTATTACATGTTTGAGAGCAACACTATGTAGAAGTGCCAATATCTCACATTAGATTGCAGCAACAGAAAGCACTGATTTCTGATTGGCCAGCAGGTGTTAAAATCAGTTTCAGCCACTGCAGGTGTATGTGTGTTAATTATTTCACAGCCAAACTGCATTTTGTAGTAACGCACAAGTGTCACAAGGTGGCAGCAGCTAAATGTGAAGACAGTATATGGGAACGGTGTATATCAATGAATTGAATGAAACAACTGTAAATTCTTCACAATAAAAGCCTTTTTTGGACATGAAGGGAGTCTTTCCACTGAAGTGCTACAGGGTTTTTAATTTGAAACAGAAACAGGAAGTGTTGAGTTGTATGAACAGCATAATGCAGTAGCAAAGAGTTAACAGGGCAAACTGGAGCAGATCAGAAACAAGGAGGCTTTATACTAAAATATGACCGAACGATAAACCCCTGACAGACAATCTATTGATCAATGTTTCTTTTCATTGGTATTGGTTCTAGGTATTGGTTCTAACTATTCCACACATACAATAATTGCATGCAAACTCTCTCTTTTTAGTCTCTTTCAAACACTCAAAAGTAACAGAAAGATTGGTTACATTGTCAATAAAGGTTGGGGCAGCAGTATCTCAGTATGTAGGGACTTGGCTTGGGAACCTTTAGGTTGCAGGTTCAAATCCCACAGACCACAATATGGAGTGTGGACTGGTAGCTGGAGAGATGCCAGTTTTACCTCCTGTGCACTGCAGAGGTGCCCTTGAGCAAGGCAACCTAACCCCAAGAAACTGCTCATGGGTGCCGCTAATGTGGCGAGCCCATCACTCCACCATGTCTCTCCCTGTTGCATGTCCACGAGTGCATGAAGTGTGTATTTCAGTCTGTATATATATATATATATGAATACAAAAGAGTGAAAAGAAGAATTTCCCCAATAGGGGATTAATAAAGTATATATCTTCTTCTTCTAAAAAGGCTCTAAAAATTGGGCTGCATGTTACTATACGAATAATGTTGAGCTGAGTTGAGTTAAACAAAATGGTGTCTATGTGATGTTTGATGCAACATTGATGGCATATTTTGAGATAGAATTTCAACTAATTACTCAAAAAAGTACATGTGTAGAATATTATTTAATGATGTTAGAGGGTTCTTTGATACCTGTTGATTTAACACAGACTCAGGGTGTAGCTCACTTGGTAGAGCACGTGCCCCATGTACTAAGGCTGAGTCTTTGCTGCAGCAGCCTTTGTTTGATTAACCTTTGCCACATGTCATCCCCACTCTGTCTCTCCACTTTCCTGTCGTTCTTCACCAACCAAATAGACACAAAAATCCCCCAAATTATCTTTAAACACAGACTCATAGACCAGCTTGTTTGATGCTTTTAATTTTGCAAAAGACAGGAAATACAGTTGCTAAAGCGTACTTTCCATAACACATTCTGCTGTCTGATCTTCTTAAAAACACAAGGCCTAAGAGACAATCCAGCTCCTCCTTTCTCACTTGTCATTTTAAACGGCAATAGAAAAAAAATTGTAATGGCAATAGAAAAAAAATTGAGATATGCAAAGAAATATAGAGCCTTCAAGTTATGAAACTGATGACACTGATGTTGTGCTCGACAGGTACTTGATACCTCTCTGGCAGCCCAGGAATCATCAGACTTTCTTGGCGCAGACAGATGGGCGAGTAGTACCACAGTTGATATCATCCCAGCACTTTTCCCCTGTAAATACAAACAATCTCTGAAAGTGCTGTCTGCTAAAACATCTTTGTGGTTCCTGTTTTAAACATTTAGAGGAGACAGATTGAGACAAAATCAAGAAACAGTTTTGTCTCGAACTGTAGTAGCTGTAAAATGTCTCCAGGATTCAGGAACCTGTAGTATTAAGGTAGTGTTTGCTGTTACCATGATAACCACAGGTGTTGCCAAATCAATCAGGCATGAAACTTTAAGTATTACAAGTTTAAACTCTATATACTCTAGTACAAATAAGTTAAGTTGATTTACCTCCATAGTTCATTTGCAAACAGTGCTGCTGGCTGCGGCCGTTGTCAGGCTGTCCGTTACACCAGTTCAGATACTGGAAACGAGAACCATCACTCCACAGCCAAAGACGCTCCTAGACAAGAAAACAGAATATTACACAAATTAAACCGGTTTAATCAAATGACATGTTGGGTTTTGTGTAGTAATGATTAAAAATACCTCTTGTGCATCAGAGCCTCCGAGCCATGCCTCCTTAGACTGATAACTTGCGGCCCTAATCAGCCTCTGAATCTCTTGGTACTCCTGTATGTTCTGTACTGATGCAAGGTTTGCACCCATGGACTGGCAGTTTTTCTACAGTGGAGATTAACAGACAGAGAGCAGAGTTGAAACAAATAAAAACATCAAGTCAGAAGAAGAAACCAAGAGTGCAAGTCAAGACAAACAAATAAACTCTTTCTAGAAGCAGTAATTTGAAATCATCCTGATTACCTCAGCTTGAGCCCAAGTCATGGGTCTTGGAATGTAGTGGAAACAGCGATTGTTGAACAGAGACCACCTATTGGGACAATCTGTTGACCTCTTGACCAGACGACTCTTTACTGAGAACACGTAATAGAAAAACAGATAAGTCTTCGGTTAAAGTCTTTACCTGATCGACAAGTTTAGATAATTGCCCAAAAGATAATAAACCACAATTCAAAAAGACAGGATCCCATCACCCCTATTCTTAACCTCTCTACACTGGTTAACCGACAGTTCTAGAGTTGATTTTAAAGGAATAGTTTGACATTTTAATTTGCTTTCTTGCCAAGGTAGCAAGCAGTGCTGTAGTCAAGACCGACTTTGTCAAGTCCAAGACCATGACAAGCCAAGATCTAGTCAAGACCAAGTTCAAAGAGGTTTGAGTTCAAGTCAAGACCGAGTCCACATGAGAGAGACAGAGTCAAGACCGAGACAGAAATAAAAGAATGCTTTTGGCATTGCCAACGAGATGAGTTTTGGTAGCCATCACACGATTGCAGGTGATTATCTCTTCCAAATCCTAACAAAATGGATTTTGAACCCTAAACCAATACCCATTTTCTGAACAAAAGCACTTCAATCAATGGTGTTGTTTTGAAGGAGGAAATAAAAAAATAAAAAACATATTACTGGACTAGGTCGTCCAAATGCTATGATATTTTAATGTCTATCATAATGGTAATACTTGGAGAGTATTCCTGAGTACACAGAATCTTGGACGAAGTGTAAGGCATTTCAATAAAAATCGAATAAAAGAAGACCCGCTGACCTGTTTGATCATCCTTGGCCTTGGCTTCTGGAAGAGCTGGACAGTTTGACATAGCAGTTATTGACTTGGGTCATCTCCAGACATGTAAATGTAATACCTCTCAGTTCATTATACACAATACCATCTCTATATCACTTACCAACAGCTCTGGTCAGAGCCATCATGGCACAAAGAACTGCAAACGCAGTCAGTATCTTCATGTTGGGAATGATGATGATAACCTTCAATAAACAGACAGAAACATGTGAGTAATATCAAGTAGGTAGCAGGCGACTGTCAATGCATTAAAGGAAGTAAGATAAAAGAGTTTGTAGAAAACCTGCTGCAGAATGATCTTGTCTAAAGCCTGTAGCTTCTGTTTTCGACGAGAGAAAGATCAGATCTTATATAGTTACTTATCTTGTCATCTATTACAAAATAGGAAGGAGACATGCAAACACACACATAGAAACACCTTATCTATGTGTTGATCAGATATACTCAGTTCCCACCATGAACAAACACTATTATGATCAGTTAATGTGTGTAATGTGTAATTCAATTTGTTTTAATGTATACAGCATTACTATGTTCTTGGCACATAACATAGACATAATGGTTTACCCGATTTAGCGAAGTTTAAAATATGTGTCCAAATAAGCAACATGTCTTGACCAATACATATGACGGTGCATGTTAACTGACAACGGACAAAACTACAGCACTAAATCGGCTAAACAGTCCTTAAAATATTAAAATAATTCCACGTACAAAAATGACATCAACATATTAAAACAATCTGTGAAATTAATGATAAGTAGAGACTACACTACTGTTAGTGAACTGTAGCTGCCGAGGCTACAACTACCACTGGTAACAAGCTCCCTGGCAGCTTTTTTGAACTGTCTCAATGGATAGACTAAATAAAAAAAAATACAACAGAAATTGTATTGTATTGATTTAGATTGATATACCTTTTAAAATCCTTTAACAAAGCAATACAATTAAAACTATTAAGTTATTAAGTGTTTTTTATTCTATTACTATTTGCACAAATTTCCCTGTTTTCTAAAAACCTAAATTCATTTTGTTTAGCTGTTACAGGAGATATCTGTCATGTTTCTAAATGACTGTAACATTAATACATGCATCTATGCTGGAGTACTGTCAAATAAAAAAACTGGTTGTTTCTCTGCTGCTGTTGTTGCAAAGAAAGTCTTTAAGGATGATTTAGCATTTAGTGAACTTCCAAATCACACTTGGTGAAACTATGATAATAGAACGATAACTCTGATGAAATAATTTCTCAACCTTTCCTTTGAATTCATACTCGTGGGAAATGTACTGTAGCAATGACATATCAAAATATTTGGTGTTACATACACCAATCAGCCATAACATTATGACCAACTGGGCACCCTGGTGGTCATAATGTTCTTGTTATAATGGCCCGTGTTGGATTGGACCACATGGGCCAGCCTTCGTTGCTTTGTACCTATCAAAAGTGGTCCAAGGAAGGAAAAGTGGTGAAGTGGAGACAGGGTCTTGAGGGGCCAAGGCTCATTGATGCACGTGGGGAGCGAAGGCTGGCCTGTGTGGTCCAATCCAACAGCTGAGCTACTGTAGCTCAAACTGCTGAAAAAGTTCATGCTGGTTCTGAAAGAAAGGTGTCAGAACACACATTGCATCGCTGTTTGTTGGTCTGGGGCTGCATAGTCCCTGCTGACCCCTGTCCACTGCTGAACGCCCCTACAATGGGCATATGACCATCAGAACTGGACCAAGGAGCAATGGAAGAAGTTGGCCTGGTCTGATGAATCATGTTTTCTTTTACATCTTGTGGATGGCTGGTTGCGTGTGTTTTGCTTACCTGGGGAACACATGGCACCAGGAGGCATAATGGGAAGAAGGCAAGCCGGTGGAGGCAGTGTGATGCTTTGGCTGATGTTTGGCTGGGTCCTGCCATCCATGTGGATGTTAATTTTCCACTTACCACTTACCTGAGCATTGTTGCAGAGGATGCACATTCTTTCATGGAAAAGTTATTTCCTGATGACAGTGGCCTCTTTCAGCGAAATAATGCTCCGTGCCACAAATCAGAAATGGTTCAGGAATGGTTTGAGGAACACAACAACAAGTTTGAGGTGCTGACTTGGCCTCCAAATTTAAAATAATCATCGTTACAATGATACAAAAACACATTAAACTAACAACAGCCATTCAGGAGGCAGCTTCTAGTGTTTTGATTAGATTTTTGGTGGCTGTTTAATATATGAACCTACATGCTGGAGTGTTATAAAAAACACAAAAAGGTAGACCAAGTGTTTGGATAAGGCATCTGGCCTTCAAGGTGTTTTTTAGATCTTGAGCCTCACAGCAAAGATGACACTATGAAAATTATGCGGCAGACTTAGGATAAACCATCTTCAGCATCCTCTCTCTTCAGTCTGCCAATGATAAGAAATATACTGTAACAATGACACATCAGAATTAATCTTCAGTTTCATATGATTTTATCTACATGTCAGTTTGGAAACCCAAAACACTGTCTCCTACATGGAAGGACTTTTTAAAAAAAAAAAATTGTGTATAATCACACAGATAATCAAATAAAATAAAAAATCTCAAAATGAACCACAGATGTTCACAAATGTAATATTTCATCCATTTGTGATTCTAGTTAACAATTTATTCATGAAGGTGCACAGCTTTGATACATATAAGGCCTATACATTTGATGTTTGACATAAATAATTGAATTAAAGAGGTTGAGTAATTGATAGAAGATTTGTACAATGTTAATAAATATTAGTGGCATTCACCTGAAAGTATGTATTAATAGTGTTGTTAAAGGACCAGTGTGTAGGATTTAGTGGCATCTAGCGGTGAAGTTGCAGATTGCAACTAATAACTAACTATTAATCTACACGCAGTGTGGTTTGTCTGTTCTGGGCTACTGTAGAAACAATAATTCATACATTCGGGTGATTATACACCAAATAAAATATACCTATGAATTTTATATTCCATTTCTGCCAAAAGATCCTCCTAAATTGGTCATTATCCTTAAAAAGTGCCTTTTAGACTTTGAACAAATCGTCATAATAAAATGTACATCTTCAGAAAGAAATGTTCTCAACAATATATTTTAGTTAATAGGAAATGTATTTTTATAATGATGAAATTATTATGCATTTTCTTTTCTAAATAAAATCTAACAACAAAGATATCTGGTCAAACTTTCAAACACAGCTATTTGGCCCTTGTTTGTCATTACTGTTACATTTCATGCTGTGAAACAACACCAATTTGAGCATTTTTTGGGTCAATATGTCAACCTCAGATTAACTGTTTACAAAATAACTGGAATTCAAACACAACTGGTTCTAGCGGTTGGTTTGAGTGCCTGAACATAGAAGGAGGGGAACAACACACATGTATCACAAATAACACAAAATATTGTATTACATGTTTGAGAGCAACACTATGTAGAAGTGCCAATATCTCACATTAGATTGCAGCAACAGAAAGCACTGATTTCTGATTGGCCAGCAGGTGTTAAAATCAGTTTCAGCCACTGCAGGTGTATGTGTGTTAATTATTTCACAGCCAAACTGCATTTTGTAGTAACGCACAAGTGTCACAAGGTGGCAGCAGCTAAATGTGAAGACAGTATATGGGAACGGTGTATATCAATGAATTGAATGAAACAACTGTAAATTCTTCACAATAAAAGCCTTTTTTGGACATGAAGGGAGTCTTTCCACTGAAGTGTTACAGGGTTTTTAATTTGAAACAGAAACAGGAAGTGTTGAGTTTGTATGAACAGCATAATGCAGTAGCAAAGAGTTAACGAGGCAAACTGGAGTAGATCAGAAATAAGGAGGCTTCATACTATAATATGACCAAACGATAAAGCCCTGACAGACAATCTATTGATCAGTGTTTCTTTTCATTGTTATTCGTTCTAGGTATTGGTTCTAACTATTCCACACATACAATAATTGCATGCAAACTCTCTCTTTTAGTCTCTTTCAAACACTCAAAAGTAACAGAAAGATTGGTTACATTGTCAATAAAGGTTGGGGCAGCAGTAGCTCAGTATGTAGGGACTTGGCTTGGGAACCTTTAGGTTGCAGGTTCAAATCCCACAGACCACAATATGGAGTGTGGACTGGTAGCTGGAGAGATGCCAGTTTTACCTCCTGTGCACTGCAGAGGTGCCCTTGAGCAAGGCAACCTAACCCCAAGAAACTGCTCATGGGTGCCGCTAATGTGGCGAGCCCATCACTCCACCATGTCTCTCCCTGTTGCATGTCCACGAGTGCATGAAGTGTGTATTTCAGTCTGTATATATATATATACATATATATGAATACAAAAGAGTGAAAAGAAGAATTTCCCCAATAGGGGATTAATAAAGTATATATCTTCTTCTTCTAAAAAAGGCTCTAAAAATTGGGCTGCATGTTACTATACGAATAATGTTGAGCTGAGTTGAGTTAAACAAAATGGTGTCTATGTGATGTTTGATGCAACATTGATGGCATATTTTGAGATAGAATTTCAACTAATTACTCAAAAAGTACATGTGTAGAATATTATTTAATGATGTTAGAGGGTTCTTTGATACCTGTTGATTTAACACAGACTCAGGGTGTAGCTCACTTGGTAGAGCACGTGCCCCATGTACTAAGGCTGAGTCTTTGCTGCAGCAGCCTTTGTTTGATTAACCTTAGCCACATGTCATCCCCACTCTGTCTCTCCACTTTCCTGTCGTTCTTCACCAACCAAATAGACACAAAAATCCCCCAAATTATCTTTAAACACAGACTCATAGACCAGCTTGTTTGATGCTTTTAATTTTGCAAAAGACAGGAAATACAGTTGCTAAAGCGTACTTTCCATAACACAATCTGCTGTCTGATCTTCTTAAAAACACAAGGCCTAAGAGACAATCCAGCTCCTCCTTTCTCACTTGTCATTTTAAACGGCAATAGAAAAAGAAATTGTAACGGCAATAGAAAAAAAATTGAGATATGCAAAGAAATATAGAGCCTTCAAGTTATGAAACTGATGACACAAAAAACAGTGTGTTTGTTGTGCTTGACAGGTACTTGATACCTCTCTGGCAGCCCAGGAATCATCAGACTTTCTTGGCGCAGACAGATGGGCGAGTAGTACCACAGTTGATATCATCCCAGCACTTTTCCCCTGTAAATACAAACAATCTCTGAAAGTGCTGTCTGCTAAAACATCTTTGTGGTTCCTGTTTTACACATTTAGAGGGAGACAGATTGAGACAAAATCAAGAAACAGTTTTGTCTCGAACTGTAGTAGCTGTAAAATGTCTCCAGGATTCAGGAACCTGTAGTATTAAGGTAGTGTTTGCTGTTACCATGATAACCACAGGTGTTGCCAAATCAATCAGGCATGAAACTTTAAGTATTACAAGTTTAAACTCTATATACTCTAGTAGAAATAAGTTAATTTGATTTACCTCCATAGTTCATTTGCAAACAGTGCTGCTGGCTGCGGTAGTTGTCAGGCTGTCCGTTACACCAGTTCAGATACTGGAAACGAGAACCATCACTCCACAGCCAAAGACGCTCCTAGACAAGAAAACAGAATATTACACAAATTAAACCGGTTTAATCAAATGACATGTTGGGTTTTGTGTAGTAATGATTAAAAATACCTCTTGTGCATCAGAGCCTCCGAGCCATGCCTCCTTAGACTGATAACTTGCGGCCCTAATCAGCCTCTGAATCTCTTGGTACTCCTGTATGTTCTGTACTGATGCAAGGTTTGCACCCATGGACTGGCAGTTTTTCTACAGTGGAGATTAACAGACAGAGAGCAGAGTTGAAACAAATAAAAACATCAAGTCAGAAGAAGAAACCAAGAGTGCAAGTCAAGACAAACAAATAAACTCTTTCTAGAAGCAGTAATTTGAAATCATCCTGATTACCTCAGCTTGAGCCCAAGTCATGGGTCTTGGAATGTAGTGGAAACAGCGATTGTTGAACAGAGACCACCTATTGGGACAATCTGTTGACCTCTTGACCAGACGACTCTTTACTGAGAACACGTAATAGAAAAACAGATAAGTCTTTGGTTAAAGTCTTTACCTGATCGACAAGTTTAGATAATTGCCCAAAAGATAATAAACCACAATTCAAAAAGACAGGATCCCATCACCCCCATTCTTAACCTCTCTACACTGGTTAACCGACAGTTCTAGAGTTGATTTTAAAGGAATAGTTTGACATTTTAATTTGCTTTCTTGCCAAGGTAGTAAGCAGTGCTGTAGTCAAGACCGACTTTGTCAAGTCCAAGACCATGACAAGCCAAGATCTAGTCAAGACCAAGTTCAAAGAGGTTTGAGTTCAAGTCAAGACCGAGTCCACATGAGAGAGACAGAGTCAAGACCGAGACAGAAATAAAAGAATGCTTTTGGCATTGCCGACCAGATGAGTTTTGGTAGCCAGCACACGATTGCAGGTGATTATCTCTTCCAAATCCTAACAAAATGGATTTTGAACCCTAAACCAATACCCATTTTCTGAACAAAAGCACTTCAATCAATGGTGTTGTTTTGAAGGAGGAAATAAAAAAATAAAAAACATATTACTGGACTAGGTCGTCCAAATGCTATGATATTTTAATGTCTATCATAATGGTGATACTTGGAGAGTATTCCTGAGTACACAGAATCTTGGACGAAGTGTAAGGCATTTCAATAAAAATCGAATAAAAGAAGACCCGCTGACCTGTTTGATCATCCTTGGCCTTGGCTTCTGGAAGAGCTGGACAGTTTGACATAGCAGTTATTGACTTGGGTCATCTCCAGACATGTAAATGTAATACCTCTCAGTTCATTATACATAATACCATCTCTATATCACTTACCAACAGCTCTGGTCAGAGCCATCATGGCACAAAGAACTGCAAACGCAGTCAGTATCTTCATGTTGGGAATGATGATGATAACCTTCAATAAACAGACAGAAACATGTGAGTAATATCAAGTAGGTAGCAGGCGACTGTCAATGCATTAAAGGAAGTAAGATAAAAGAGTTTGTAGAAAACCTGCTGCAGAATGATCTTGTCTAAAGCCTGTAGCTTCTGTTTTCGACGAGAGAAAGATCAGATCTTATATAGTTACTTATCTTGTCATCTATTACAAAATAGGAAGGAGACATGCAAACACACACATAGAAACACCTTATCTATGTGTTGATCAGATATACTCAGTTCCCACCATGAACAAACACTATTATGATCAGTTAATGTGTGTAATGTGTAATTCAATTTGATTTAATGTATACAGCATTACTATGTTCTTGGCACATAACATAGACATAATGGTTTACCCGATTTAGCGAAGTTTAAAATATGTGTCCAAATACACAACATGTCTTGACCAATACATATGACGGTGCATGTTAACTGACAACGGACAAAACTACAGCACTAAATCGGCAAAACAGTCCTTAAAATATTAAAATAATTCCACGTACAAAAATGACATCAACATATTAAAACAATCTGTGAAATTAATGATAAGTAGAGACTACACTATGGTTAGTAAACTGTAGCTGCCGAGCCTACAACTACCACTGGTAACAAGCTCCCTGGCAGCTTTTTTGAACTGTCTCAATGGATAGACTAAATTAAAAAAAATACAACAGAAATTGTATTGTATTGATTTAGATTGATATACCTTTTAAAATCCTTTAACAAAGCAATACAATTAAAACTATTAAGTTATTAAGTGTTTTTTATTCTATTACTATTGGCACAAATTTCCGTTTTCTAAAAACCTAAATTCATTTTGTTTAGCTGTTACAGGAGATATCTGTCATGTTTCTAAATGACTGTAACATTAATACATGCATCTATGCTGGAGTACTGTCAAATAAAAAACTGGTTGTTTCTCTGCTGCTGTTGTTGCAAAGAAAGTCTTTAAGGATGATTTAGCATTTAGTGAACTTCCAAATCACACTTGGTGAGACTATGATAATTAATGCTGCACTGATAGAACGATAACTCTGATGAAGAATTTCTCAACCTTTCCTTTGAATTCATACTCGTGGGAAATGTACTGTAGCAATGACATATCAGAATAGTTGGTGTTACATACACCAATCAGCCATAACATTATGACCAACTGGGCACCCTGGTGGTCATAATGTTCTTGTTGTAATGGGCCGTGTTGGATAGGACCACATGGGCCAGCCTTCGTTGCTTTGTACCTATCAAAAGTGGTCCAAGGAAGGAAAAGTGGTGAAGTGGAGACAGGGTCTTGAGGGGCCAAGGCTCATTGATGCACGTGGGGAGCGAAGGCTGGCCTGTGTGGTCCAATCCAACAGCTGAGCTACTGTAGCTCAAACTGCTGAAAAAGTTCATGCTGGTTCTGATAGAAAGGTGTCAGAACACACATTGCATCGCTGTTTTTTGGTCTGGGGCTGCATAGTCCCTGCTGACCCCTGTCCACTGCTGAACGCCCCTACAATGGGCATATGACCATCAGAACCGGACAGGAGCAATGGAAGAAGTTGGACTGGTCTGATGAATCATGTTTTCTTTTACATCTTGTGGATGGCTGGGTGCGTGTGTTTCGCTTACCTGGGGAACACATGGCACCAGTAGGCATAATGGGAAGAAGGCAAGCCGGTGGAGGCAGTGTGATGCTTTGGGTGATGTTTGGCTGGGTCCTGCCATCCATGCGGATGTTAATTTTCCACTTACCACTTACCTGAGCATTGTTGCAGAGGATGCACATTCTTTCATGGAAAAGTTATTTCCTGATGACAGTGGCCTCTTTCAGCGAAATAATGCTCCGTGCCACAAATCAGAAATGGTTCAGGAATGGTTTGAGAAACACAACAACAAGTTTGAGGTGCTGACTTGGCCTCCAAATTTCCCAGATCTCAATCCAATCGAGAATCTGTGGGATGTGCTGGATAAACAAGTCCGATCCATGGATGCCCCACCTCACAGACACAGACACTTGATCTAAAAACTGGTCCTGGTGGTCCTCTCTTAGTGGAGAGCTTGTCCAACTGCACCAAGAACTTTGTATTCAAGGGGGCTGTTGGAATTCACATGAACTCAGCACTGATCTAGAAAATTGGACTAACTCTAAAGCTACAGGTATGCAAAGTTTTTTCCTTACCTATATGAACTTTGATTGGTCTTCTAAGTGACGTTTTCAAAAAAATGGAATCTAACAGAAATGCCTTGATTGAATGAGTAATTGCAGTTTGATGTCCACTGCCATTTTCCAAAGAGAAGAAAATAGGTTAAACGAGAATAATTTAGAAAGTTTAGTTTTAATGAAGAAAATAATCATCGTTACAATGATACAAAAACACATTAAACTAACAACAGCCTTCTTTTACTTTTTTCAGTGTACAGGAATTCAGGAGGCAGCTTCTAGTATTCTGATTAGATTTTTGGTGGCTGTTTAATATATGCACCTACATGCTGGAGTGTTATAAAAAATACAAACAGGTAGACTAAGTGTTTGGATAAGGCATCTGGCCTTCAAGGTGTTTTTTAGATCTTGGTCCTCACAGCAAAGATGACACTATGAAAATTATGCGGCAGACTTAGGATAAACCATCTTCAACTTCCTCTCTCTTCAGTCTGCCAATGATAAGAAATATACTGTAACAATGACACATCAGAATTAATATTCAGTTTCATATGATTTTATCTACATGCCAGTTCGTCAACACAAAACACTGTCTCCTACATGGAAGGACTTTTTTTTTTTTTTAACAATTGTGTATAATCACACAGACAATACAATCTTTAAAAATATCTCAAAATGAACCATAGATATTGACATAAATAATTGAATTAAAGAGGTTGAGTATTGATAGAAGATTTGTACAATGTTAATAAATATTAGTGGCATTCACATGAAAGTATGTATTAATAGTGTTGTTAAAGGACCAGTGTGTAGGATTTAGTGGCATCTAGTGGTGAAGTTGCAACTAATAACTACCTAATAATCTACACTCAGTGTGTGGTTTGTCTGTTCTGGATTACTGTAGAAACAATAATTCATACATTCAGGTGATTATACACTATTTAAAATATACCTATGAATATTATATTCCATTTCTGCCAATAGATTCTCCTAAATTGGTCATTATCCTTAAAAAGTGCCTCTTAGACTTTTAACAAATTGTCATATTAAAATGTACATCTTCAGAAAGAAATTTTCTCAACAATATATTTTAATTAATAGGAAATGTATTTTTATAATGATGAAATTATTATGCACTTTCTTTTCTAAATAAAATCTAACAACAAAGATATCTGGTCAAACTTTCAAACACAGATTTTTGGTCCTTGTTTGTCATTACTGTTACATTTCATGCTGTGAAACAACACCAATTTGAGCATTTTTTGGGTCAATATGTCAACCTCAGATTAACTGTTTACAAAATAACTGGAATTCAAACACAACTGGTTCTAGCGGTTGGTTCGAGTGCCTGAACATAGAGGGAGGGGAACAACACGTATCACAAATAACACAAAATATTGTATTACATGTTTGAGGGCAACACTATGTAGAAGTGCCAATATCTCACATTAGACCGCGGCAACAAAAAGCACACATTTCTGACTGGCCAGCAGGTGTTAAAAAAATCAGTTTCAGCCACTGCAGGTGTATGTGTGTTAATTATTTCACAGCCAAACTGCATTTTGTAGTAACGTACAAGTGTCACAAGGTGGCAGCAGCTAAATGTGAAGACAGTATATGGGAACAGTGCATATCAATGAATTTTACAACAACTTTAAATGTTTCACAATAAAAGCCTTGGTTGGACATGAAGGGAGTCTGTCCACTGAAGTGCTACAGGGTTTTTAATTTGAAACAGAAACAGGAAGTGTTGAGTTTGTATGAACAGCATAATGCAGTACCAAAAAATTAAGAGTGCAAACTTGAGCAGATCAGAAATAAGGATGCTTCATACTAAAATATGATCAAATGATAAAGACCTGACAGCCGATCTATTAATTAGTGTTTTGTTTCATTGGTATTCGTTCTAGGTTCTAGGTGTTATGAGAAAATACCAGTTGCTCAATACAGCCTAAAGAATACATGAAAAGTTAAAGGTCCAGTGTTTAACATTTGGTAGGATCTCAGAAACGGATCACAATATTCATAGATATGTTTTCAGTAGTTGTCAGAGTGCACTGAATTAAATAAATTAGGACTGCTATTATCAGTCTTTTGTTACCATCCAGTAAGCTTTTTTTGTATGATGGGTCGATATTTTGGTCTTCCTATCATTGATCTATTTTGAACCTACAGACTCCTCCATCTCATGGTGTTGTATTTAAAGTTTTGTGTGTACTCATGTGCTATGTAGTGAGAGGTCAGACTCACAGACTGGCATATTTCAATGCTCAAGGCTTTTAATTGTGTATAAGACAAGAAAAAAAAAACAGTTGACTCTCCAGAATGAAAGGCCTAAAATGCTACAGTGTACAGCATGTTTCTCTGTTGTCCAAAGAAATATCATGGCTTTCTTGCGCAGACAAACGGCCTCATGTAAGAGCAAGGCTGGTCGTCAAATTTCTTTTGATCTGTAAAAAGACAGGGAGTTATTTAGACAACCAATGAACCATCAGAATTAGGCCAAGCATATGTATATAACACTGATAGTATATATAATGGACAGAGCTTCCGGGTCTTGAAGTGAAGCCAATGTGGAGGTGTCACGTAAACCTGTATTCTATGTAATGGCTGTCTGTCTATCTGTAATACGAGATTGTGTGTTAGCAGGCGGACCACCATCGTTTCCTGCTACAGACGAGTCAAAACTGTGCAGCCAATGAGAGCTGCTCAAACATAAAGACACAACTTCCAGCTTTCCCTCCTCTGTCAAGCCAAGATATGATTTGATCTAAGGTTAAGAGGTAGTGGTTTCTGGTCGTTACTGGTGTTACATGTTCTTAGTTGTTGAATAGAGTGAAGGGTTTTGAGACGTTCAAACATCCTACCAAAATTTACCATTATCATCACTTTTACTGATGAAAAAAAGGAAAATGTTTCTGAAGCTATATATCTGTTTACCTCCAAAGTTCATCAACATACAGTGTGCCTTTGGTTGATTATCAGGCTGTCCTTGATCCCAGAAGTTAAACTGGAAACGTGTACCGTCACTCCAGAACCAGGTAGCCTCCTAGACAATTGCAATATAACACAACAGATGTTTAAAAGTAAAGGTTTTATTTACAGTGTTTTACATTTTGTGCAGTCAGTGACATACCTGTGCCGCATCGTAGCCTCCAAGCCATGTGAGTGGATACGTATGAGTGAGAATCAGGATCATACCCTGAATCACATGATGCTCCTCAAAGCTGTGCACCGATGCAAGGTTTCCACCCTGATACAGACAGTTTCTCTATCCAAGCACAGAAAGGATGGAGGATGTAGTGTGGAGCCATAAAAATGATACATTACATACCAAACACACCAAATTAGAAGCCAATAACAGCAGAATGGATGTAGTGTAGAAGCTTTTTGCACCAGTGGTGGAGAAAGTATTTAGGTAGCCTTGAAATGTGTGAAAAACGCAAACAGCACTTTCTAGAGTCTAGACAATTTTACTGTTGAAGTTGGTTGAGGTGGAGCTCATGTTTACTATTTTGTAGAGGACTGCAACTATGGATTATTTTCTCCATTGAGCAACTGATTGTTTGGTTTATAAAAATTGTTCGAAATGTCGTCTTGTTTCATCCAACCAACGGACAAACCGTAATTATTAAAGGATTATTAGTTAGGAAGCTGGAACCATGAAAAACTACTTAAATGATTGTGTCAAGGTCAATTCAAAGACTAAACCTTTACATTTACAAGTAGTAAAGAGGAGTAAAAAGCCCTAAATAATAGAAAGAGTGATTTGTGTCTCAAATAAGTACTGTGTTACATTCCACCACTGTGCTGCACTGAAGCCAAATCATCCTAATTACCTCAGCATCTGCCCAAGTCATTGCTGTTGGAATATAGATGAAACAGCGATCATTGTAACCAGTCCAACCGGTGGGACAAGCGGTGTGACTATTCCCTGAAAACAAATTTAGAAAAGTTGTTAACATGAGAGGCAACAAAGCAGGTCCCCATTGATGCACCAGACCTACAGAATTCTTAATTTAACTTTCTGAGGGGCTTATATGAAAATGTATCTTGAAAACAGCTGATAATGGAGTTGGCGAGAGCAGGGAGGCAGAACCAATACAGTTTTAGCCCTAAAAAGACACTTAAATACTTCAGAGTCATAAGAGTAAGAAGTTTAAGTCACCTTCTTGAATGAATGATTCTGTCCCTTCACCGGTCTCTGCTTCTGGAACAGCTGGAGGTTTTGACACAGCACTTAGTGACTCGGTTCATCTTCTGTTGTTAATTTACATACACAATAACTTGCATGAAAACTCTCATTTTCATCAAAAGTGACACAAAGATTGGTTACATTGTCAACAACGGTCAAAAAAGGCTGTCAAATTGTTTGTTAGTATATGTGATCTTCTCCAATTTCCATTGATTCCCTTTTATTTTTGGATTTTATTTCTTTGACTAGGAGACACTTTGTGACTGCTGTCTGTGAAAGGTGATTATGTACACACACCTATATATACACATATATACATATATACACATACACACACACACATATATATATATATACATACACACATACACACATACATATATATATATATATATATACACATATATATACACACACACATACATACATACACACACACATGTATATACACACATATACATATACATATATATACACACATATATACACATACACATATATATAGACACGTGTATATATATATATACAGACATACATATATACATATACATATGTATATGTGTATATATACATATATGTGTGTATATGTACATACATGTATACATACATACATACATACATGTATATATGTATATATACACATATATATATATGTATATATATATACACACATACATATATATATACACACACACACACATATACACACACACATGTATATATATATATATATACACACATACATATATACATATATACACACATATATACATATATACACACATGTACATATATACACACACATATATATACATATATACATATATATACACATACATATATACATATATATTCAATTCAATTCAATTCAATTTTATTTGTATAGCGCCAATTCATAACAGAAGTTATCTCAGGACACTTTTCAAATAGAGCAGGTCTAGACCAAACTCTTTAAAACATTAATTACAGAGACCCAACAGTACCACCATGAGCAAGCACTTGGTGACAAGGGCAAGGAAAAATTGCCTGTTAAAAGGCAGAAACCTAGGACAGATCCCCGGCTCTAGGTGGGTGGTCGTCTGTCTCGACCAGTTGGGATGAGAGAGAGAGAGAGAGAGAGAGAGAGAGAGAGATGGCAATGGCAATCAAGCAGGACCATGGCAGGAGGCTCCAACAGGATCGACAAGAACCTGCGAGATGAGAAAGCACAAGAACTCCGGGGAAGAAGTGAAGTTAGTAACATGCATTAATGGGACATGAATGAGTGCAGAAAGAGAGAGGAAGGGAGGAGCTCAGTGCACCATGGGAAATCCCCCGATAGTCTAGGCCTATAGCAGCATAACTAAGGGATGGTTCAGGACTCACCTGATCCAGCCCTAACTATAAGCTTTATCAAAGAGGAATGTCTTAAGCCTACTCTTGAATGTGGAGATGGTGTCTGCCTTCAGAACCACAACTGGAAGCTAGTTCCACAGGAGAGGAGCTTGGTAACTGAAGGCTCTGGCTCCTGTTCTACTTTTAGAGACTATAGGAACCACAAGTAGCCCAGCATTCAGAGAACGTAGTGTTCTAGAGAGGTAATAGGGTACTATGAGCTCTTTAAGATATGAAGGGGCCTGACCATGAAGAGCTTTATAGGTGAGGAGGAGGATTTTAAATTCTATTATACATTTTACAGGGAGCCAATGCAGAGAAGCTAGTACAGGAGAGATGTGATCTCTTTTTCTAGTTCCTGTCAGTACTCGTGCTGCAGCGTTCTGAATTAATTGGAGCGTTTTAATGGACTTATTGGGGCAACCTGATAATGAAGAGTTGCAGTAATCCAGCCTTGAAGTAACAAATGCATGGATTAGTTTTTCTGCATCTGTCTGTGATAGGATGTGTCTAATTTTTCTAATATTACGTAAATGAAAGAAGGCAGTCCTGGAGGTTTGCTTTATGTGGGAGTTAAATGACAAATCCTGATCAAAGATAACTCCAAGATTCCTGACAGTGGTGCTAGAGGCCAAGTTAATGCCATCTAGAGTAACTATATCTTTAGACAGTGAGTCTCTAAGGTTTTTGGGGCCAAGAACAAGAATTTCAGTTTTTTCTGAGTTTAACATCAGAAAATTGCAGGTCATCCAGGATTTTATGTCCTTAAGACATGTTTGTAATTTAGATAATTGATTAATTTCATTGGGCTTGATTGATAGATATAACTGCGTATCATCTGCATAACAGTGAAAGTTAATGGAGTGATTCCTAATAATGTTGCCTAAAGGGAGCATATATAAAGTAAATAGTATTGGTCCAAGTACAGAACCTTGTGGAACTCCATGACTAACTGTAGTATTTATTGAAGATTCATCGTTAACATGTACAAACTGCAAGCGATCTGATAAATATGACTTAAACCAGCTTAGTGCGGTTCCTTTAATGCCAATTTGATGCTCAAGTCTCTCTAAAAGAATATTATGGTCAATGGTGTCAAATGCAGCACTAAGATCTAATAATACAAGTACAGAGACAAGTCCATTGTCAGAAGCAGTCAGAAGGTCATTATTAACTTTAACCAGAGCTGTCTCTGTGCTATGATGAACTCTAAATCCTGACTGAAAATCCTCAAATAAACTCTTGCTATGAAATTAGAAGATAGAAATTCACACAACTCTTTGGCGACTACTTTCTCCAGAATCTTAGAGAGGAAGGGGAGGTTAGAAATCGGTCTATAGTTGGCTAAAACCTCTGGGTCAAGAGTGGACTTTTTAAGAAGGGGTTTAATTACAGCTACTTTAAAGGACTGTGGTACATATCCTGATAATAAAGAAAGATTAATCATATCCAGTAAAGAAGTGCCAATTAAAGGAACAACTTCTTTAAGCAGCCTAGTTGGGATCGGGTCTAATAGACAGGTTGATGGCTTCGATGAAGAAATGATTGAAGTTAACTGATGAAGATCGATAGCAGAAAAACAGTCTAAATATATATCTAAGTTTACATTGGCAGAAGTCCCTGAACTTGGAGAGCCACTGATAACTGTTGATGGCAGTTGGTGATTAATTTTTTCTCTAATAGTAATAATTTTATTATAGAAGAAGCTCATGAAGTCATTGCTACTTAAGTCTATGGGGATATGTGGCTCAATAGAGCTGTGACTCTCTGTCAGCCTGGCTACAGTGCTGAAGAGGAACCTAGGGTTATTCTTATTTTCTTCTATTAGTGCTGAGTAATAGGCTCCTCTGGCATTACGGAGGGCCTTTCTATAAATTTTAAGATTATCTTTCCAATTTGAGCGATATTCTGATAATTTGGAAGAGCGCCATTTCCTTTCAGATTTCCTAGCTATTTGTTTTAACTGGCGGGTTTGGTGGTTATACCAAGGTGCTAGTCTCCTATGTTTTGATAATTTCCTTTTTATAGGAGCGATAGAGTCTAATGTTGATCGTAGTGAGCCTGTAGCACTATCGACAAGATTATCAATTTCCGAGGGACTAAAGTCGTTATAGGACTCTGTTAAGTTCAGACATTGCATTGAATTAAACACTGAAGGAATCTCCTCCTTAAATTTAGCTACAGCACTGTCAGATAGACATCTGCTGTAGGACGTTTTGCCTAATGGCTTATAATCTAATAGTATGAATTCAAAAGTTATTAAATAATGGTCAGATAGGAAAGGATTATGTGGGAAGACTATTAAATGTTCAATATCAATGCCATATGATAAAACAAGGTCAAGAGTGTGATTAAAACAATGAGTTGGTTTATTTACACTTTGACAGAAGCCAATTGAGTCTATTAATGATATAAATGCATTACTAAGGCTGTCATTGTCAACATCCACATGAATATTAAAATCACCTACAATAATTACTTTATCTGATTTAAGGACTAAACTTGATAGAAACTCTGAGAATTCATAAAAGTAGAGTATGGTCCAGGAGCGCGGTACATTATAACAAATAGAACTGGCTGCAATGTTTTCCAGTTTGGGTGAGAAAGACTAAGAACAAGGCTTTCAAATGAATTATAATTTAGTTTAGGTTTAGGGTCCATTAAAACGCTCAAATCATATATGGCTGCCACTCCACTTCCTCGGCCTGTGCCTCGAGGAATGTGAGTATTAATATGAGTGGGGGGGGGTGGATTCATTTAGGCTAACATACTCCTCGTGGGACAACCAGGTCTCAGTATACACACACATATATATACATATATATACATATACATATATATATACATACAAATATATACACACATACACACATACATACATACATACATACATACACACACACACACACAAACACACACACTTTGCTTTCTAGTTTTAAATTAAGGGCTCCTCAGATAATTACAAAGCTACAATGACTCAGCTGAGACCAACAGTCACATGACAGTTATACCACAAACAGGCTGTGTTTACATAAAGATAGAGAACATGGAAGGGAAGGATTCATGCCACGATATTTGACGTGTACTATAAAACTTTGATAAAAAGCAGGGTCCAAATTAGACGCAGGTCCCCTGGTGTGCGTACAAGTTTTGACAAATAAACACAGGTCTAGATTTTACAGAAGTTCTTTGGATGTATAAATCTTCTTAAAGCCTCAAAGCTGCTTAGATCACCTACATACAGTTGAAACCAGAAGTTTACATACCCTGTATAAAAAGACCCTTTTTTTTCTCTCTGACATTAAATCAGATTAAACTTTTCCTGTTTTAGGTCAATTAGGATTACCAAAATTATTTCTACTTGCTAAATGCCAGAATAATGAGAGAGAGAATATTTTAGACAATGTTTTCATTACTTTCTTGAAAGTCAGAAGTTTACATACATTTCATTAGTATTTTGTACCATTGCCTTTAAACTGTATGACTTGGGTCAAACGTTTTGGATATCCTTCCACAAGCTTCTCACAATAGTTGGCAGGAATTTTGGCCCATTCCTCCAGACAGAACTGGTGTAACTGAACCAAGTTTGTAGGCCGCCTTGCTTGCACATGCCATTTCAGCTCTGCCCATAAATGTTCAATAGGATTGAGATCAGGGCTTTGTGATGGCCACTCCAAAACATTGACTTTGTTTCCCTTAAGCCACTTTGTAACCAGTTTGGCAGTATGCTTTAGGTCATTGTCCATTTGGAAGACCCATTTGCACCCAAGCTTTAACTTCCTGGCTGATGTCTTGAGATGTTGCTTCAGTATTTCCACATAATGTTCTTTCCTCATGATGCCACCTATTTTGTGAAGCGCACCAGTCTCTCCTGCAGCAAAACAACCCCACATGATGCTGCCACCCCTGTATTTCACAGTTGAGATGGTGTTCTCAGGCTTGCAAGCTTCCCCCTTTTTCCTTCTTTTGACTTTCCCATGATGTTACACAAAGAAGCAGTCTGTTTCAGGTGTGCCTTAAAATACAATAACTAACTAAAATGTTGTCAATAAATAAAATCAGAAGCTTCCAAAGACATGACATCATCATCTGGGCTTTCCCAAATTGTTTAAAGGCATAGTAATCTTAGTGTATGTAAACTTCTGACTTTGAAGAAAGTAATAAAAAATTGTCTCTCATTATTCTGGCATTTAGCAAATAGAAATATTTTTGGTAATCCTAACGGACCTAAAACAGGAAAAGTGATAAAAAGAAAAGAAAAAAAGCATATGTGTCTTTTTACACAGTGTATGTAAACTTCTGGTTTCAACTGTAAATAGAAATATTTAAACGTTTGTCAATATGATTGAAGCAAATAAAAGCCTAAGATATTAATTAAAGCTTGTTGAAAAATGCTGTATATATTATATATATAATTTACCCCGTTATAACTGTTATACTTCACAAAAGTCATTTTTGATATCTCAATGTCTCTAGCCACGATTCTGCTGTTTCCATAGAGGTGCAGGACTTTTATATTGCACTGACAAACTAACCCACAGTTGGTAAAAAAGTGAGAGGAACCTAAAAAAAGAAAACACACTCTAAAACCGAAACAGTTCATTTAATTCAAAAAAATTGTTGAAACTCATTACATCTAAAAATCTAAGTACTACTAAAAACAAAATACTTAAATAAATAAAAAAGTACTTAATCAGGATCTTTAATCTTTTTCTGTGACTTACAAAACTAAGTTTGTGCCGCTTAAACTTACTACTAAAGGCTGCTTAATTAGGAATCTTTTTTAACTTAAAAAGAGTTTGTGTTACTTTGTTGTTAAATTTTTGCTGTAATCTGTTTCAACAATTTTTTTGCATTAAAGTAACTTATCACATTACAGTGCAGGAACTCCTTCGGGTTCAGAAGAGGGAACATTGACCTCTTTTTCAGGAAGCATCGATTGCAAGTATAAATAAAATGAGCAGCTCATAATCACCAGCAGCTGTGGTCCAAGCCATCATGGCACAGACGAGTAGAGACACAGTCAGCATCTTCATGATCTTCAATAAAGAGAAACAGACACATTGGTAATCCTTCAGAAGAGATGTGAGGACAGTACTAGTGGCTGTCAGAATTCATCAGAGGACGTAGAGACGATGATGAAGACAGAGCAGAGTAGAGAGAAAGAGAGTTGAAGCAAACCTCCAGCTAGATTATCTTCTTTGTCCGCTTGTAGCTTCGACCTTCTTGTGTTCAGGTGCTGAACAAGAGAAATGCCAGCTCTTACATACAGTAAATTACCCTTTGTGTTGATTACAAATCAAGGTTCAAGCGGTGAGATGGAGAAATTCTTGTAAGAGGTGTACCTGCAGCACCCTATGAGAGCTTGTTAAATATTTGTATAACCCCACAGTTTGATTCAAATGTTTGACAATCTGTACAAGGTTCAACAACCTCTTTCCCTCAATTCGGGTAAATAAAAACTTGTTGAGTTGTGGTTGAATATTAATAGAATTTTATATATACAGTCTTAAAAAAAAAAAGGACAGAAAACCACAGCAAAAACATGCTACTTAACTGTGTTGCACTGACACTGGCCATGTGTCAACACTGGAAAAATGCTTACTTCCTCCTTTTACGGTAAAAAAAAGATTTTCTGTTTGAGTGGATAGAAGAACTGGAATTTTTATTAAATAATGTTTTCATGGTGGTTAGAAAAAAGAAGATAGAGGAGTGAGGACAATTTCTCAAATGTTAAACAAGACAGATCCTGGTTTATAGTGAAGTCAAGTTGCAAAGAAGCATTGAACACACACACTGGTGTGGTTCTGCTGTACCACACACATACATTGCAGCACAAGAGGAAGTGTCTTATTGCATTATTTTGTCTTTCATAAGGCAAGAGTCAATAAAGCATTTTAGGAGGGAGCATGGCGTAATTATGAGATACAGACTGTAGCCCTAATTAACATTTGAAATATTAGTGAAACCGAGCAATGCACTGTAAAAAGGGTTTTAAGTCAAACTTGAACTTTAAAATTTGGACTTTTGTTGAGGTAATTTATGTTGTAAATTGTGCAGTGGACAATGAGTTAGACTCATTAGGTGACTATAAACCTGACTCTAAATGTATGTTAATGTTGCTGTTAAACAAAACAAAACGGTGTCCAGTACACTGTTGCAAACAGGAACCTTCCTATATGATGTTGATGCAGCATTAATGGCATATTTCTGTGATAAAATATCTTCTTATTACCAGGGTGCTAACTACAGGGGAGCCGGGCTCAACTTAATGAACTCCCCTGAAAACATGATTTGTGAAATTTTGAGGGGTCTCTAAAATATAGAGAACCTGCTACTTTTGCCATGCAGTTTTCTGTATCGTCATCCTCAGGGATTAATGTGCGTAATA